AATATCTGTTTAGGCCCTTTGTCTATGCTTGAATCAGCTTGTTTTGTTGTCGGTATTCAGTAATAGGGGTTCTTTAGATGTTCTAGATATGAATCATCTATCAGATAAATGCCTTGCAAATACTTTTTCTCCAATTCAGTGAATTTTTATTTTACTTTATTTGTAGCATTCGTAAAAGTTTCTTAATTTTGATGAAATCTGATTGATTCTATATTTTTCTTTTATTAGCTACACTTTTGGTGTCATAGCCAAGAAATCATTGCTAAATACAAGGTCATAATGTTTTTCCTGTATGTTCTTTTAAGTTTTATATTTTTACCTTTTATACTAAGGTCTTTGATCAATTTTGAGTTAATTTTTGCATCCTCTGTGGCAAGCTCCAACTCCATTTTTTTGGCATGTGGTTATCTAATGTTCCTAGTACTGTTTTGAAAAGACTCCTTTAACGCATGTATTGTCTCAGTAGATTTAGAAAGAGCATCTGACAGCTGTCCATACACCTGTAATCTCAGCTACACAGGAGACAGATACAGGAGAATGGAGAGTTTGAGGCCAGCCCAGACAACATTAATGAGACCTTATCTCAGGGGGAAAATGGGGGAGGGATGCTGTGTGTGTGTAGCTCAAGTGTTAGAGTGCTTGGGAGGCTCTAAGTTTAATTTCCAGGAGAGAATGGGAGAGGGAGAGGGAAAAGGAGGGGGAAGGGAAAAATGAAAAAAAAAAGACTCTCAATGCTCTTTCATGATTAAAAAAAAAAACCAATAATTTTCTATGAACTTGGGTGAGAAGGAAATGACCTCATAACAAAGGCCCACCTGCAAAGCTCCCAACTAATATTCTACAGTTAAAAAAAAATGAAAATTTTTCTCTAAGATCAGGAACAGGGAAAGATATACCCGCTCTCACCACTTACTTATAACATAATACTAGAAGTCCCAGCTAAAGCAATTAAGAAAAGGAAGGAAGGAGGGAAGAAAAGGAGGTAGAAAAGGAAAGAAAAGGAAAAAGAGAAAGAAAAGATAGCCACATGGAAAGAAAAAAGTAAAATTTTCCCAATTTGCACCCCACCAATGTGTTTTGTTTGTTTGTTTGTAGGCACTGGGGTTTGAACTCAGGCCTTCATGCTTACAAAGCGGATGCTCTACCACTTCAGGCACATCAACAGTTCATTTTGATCTGGTTATTTTGGAGATGGGGTCTTGTGAACTGTTTGCCTGGGCTGGCCTTGAACTGCTGTCCTCTGGATCTCAGCGTCCCAAGTAGCTAGGAGTACAGGCATAAGCCACCAATGCCCAGCTCACCATGTAATTTTACATACAGAAAACCCTAAAGACTCAAAAACCTGGTAGGATTAATAAGCAAATTATGTGAAGTAGCAGAATACAAAATCATCATTCAAAAATCAGTTGTATTTCTAGCAACAAACTATCTAAAAAAGGAAATTAGGAAAACAATCCCATTTATAGTAGCCCCCCCACCTCCCCCCAAAAATAAAACACTTAGGAATAAACTAAGTAGTAAGTCACTTAGTAAATAAGTAGGTATTAAGGAGATAAAAGACTTGTACATGGAAAACTACAAAACATTGTTAGGAGAAAGTAAAGATGTTTATTTTCCCATCTCATTTCATTTTGTCATTACCACATTGGCAGCCAAAATATATAAGGAGCGACTACAACTGAACAGCAAAACAAACCAAAACAATCCAATGGAGAAATGGGTAAAGGATTTGCATAAACAGTTCTCCAAATGTGACATATAAATGGCTAAGACATGTGAAGAGATGCTCGACAGCATTAGTCATTGAGGAAATGCAAATCAGTTCCACAGTGAGATACTGCCTTACACTTCTTACAGAGACCCTTATCAAACATACCGAAAACAACAAGTGTTGGCAGGAACGTTAAGAAAGTAGAATCCTTATGCATTGTTGGTAGGAATGTAATATCTGTGTTTCATAATGGCCTTTCTATTTATGCAAAAATTTCATTGAGATTTTAATAGCTTGTATGGAATTTGTATTTGTTGTAGTTCTTTTTAAATGTCTAAAAGTCTTCAGCATTGAGGTCATCAGGTCCTGGGTTTTTCTTTCTTGTGTCACTTACTACTACTGATTCAATCTCTTTTTTAAGTTATAGGCCTGTTGAGGTTTTTTATTTTTTAATGGCTCAGACTTGGTAAGTTGTATGTTTCCAGGAATTTTATCCATTCCTTCCCAGGTTATCCAGTTTGTTGGCATATTACTGTTCAGAGTAATCTCTTAATTCCTTTTTTTATTTCTGTGACATCATTTGTAAAATGATTTTGGGTTTTATTTTTGTCTTAGCTTTTTCTTAATTAGTCTAGTTAAATTTTATCAATTTTGTTGATCTTTTAAAACAACTCTCAGTTTCATTATTCAGTAGTTTTGCAACTTTGTATTGTGATTATTTCTGCTCTAGTCCTTGTTATTTTCTTTCTTCAGCTAACTTTAGGCTGAAGTGTTTTGTTATCTTCTAGTTCCTTGAGATGTACAGTTTGTTTATTTACTTGAAATCGTATTTCTTTTTAAATGTAGTAGAAATTTTGCACATTGAACAGATTCTTTGTTATTTCTCAAATTTTTTTGGGAGGGTGATGCTAGGGTTTTGAATTGAGGGCCGCACACTTGCTAAGCAGGCACTCTACTGCTTGAGCCATCTGCCAGCCCTATTTTGTATTGAGTATTTTCAAGATAGGATCTTGCAAACTATTTGCCCAAGCTGGCTTTGAATCACAATCCATCTGATCTCTGTCTCCAGAATAACTAGGATTACAGGTATAAGACACCAGCCCCGGCTTTATTTCTCATATTTTTAAAATAGATTTCTTCTAATCTAATTATGAAATGTCCCGAAGTTATCAATGTAATTATCTTCCCCATTGTAGCATGAGAGTTTTTGCCTAGGTCTCAAACATTTGTGGCCTATAGTGTTAGAAGTTGTTATATTAAGGTCAAGGAATCAAAGGTGAACTATTATTTATCAGTGTATCATTGGACAAAATTCCTATATTGTATCAATAATTATATGAATTCATGACATTTCATCTAGTTTTATATATGCCTGAGATACTTTTACTCTTTTCTAAACCGGCTATTCAATATAGAAGTTTAAACAATTTAACAAATTATTCTATGCATTATCGATTCTATAGCAGTCTTTTTCTTACAATTGAAGTCTCCATGTGACTCTTTATACACATTATATAAATATACATATTTATATTTATATAGCCCAGGCTGGCCTCCAGCTTGCAATCCTCCTGCCTCAGCCTCCTGCATAGGGATTACAGGTCTGAGCTACCACAAACCACTGTCATAAGGTTTTTCCTACTTTGTAAGATTTGATGGGAGACTTGGATTCAGAAACAGGGTATATTCAAAAAGCAAATTCTCATAGTCAATTCATGAGGAACTCCAAATAGAAGAGACAGGCCTATATATTTTTCAACCTCATAACATGTTATGTTACTAACTTTTATCAGGGAAACTTTGATTATTGAATAAATGGCAGTGAGTTATTTTACTAATTAGTGGGATGAAATTTATTTATAAAAATAGATAAGAGTAAAACTGAATAAATAAGTCATCTTTTAAAAGTTAATTAGTTGCTGTTCATTAGAGAATTTGAGGTATTTTTTTTACTTGTAATAGCTGGTCCACATTGTATATAATTCATGGCATACAACAAGTAGGTAAAACAGTTAAGCTTCAGCTTATATTATCACAATCTCTATTACTGACTTTTGTCTTCTTAGTTTATTCAGCTCCTTTGTTGCTAACTTCTACGTCTTTGTTTTTGTTATAGTTTATGTTCTAACTTCTTAAAAAGAATGCTTAATTCTTTTATTTTTATTTTTTAAAATAAGTATTTCAAGTTGTAAGTGCCTTTCTAAGTATTATCTTTGCTGCATTTTTGAATTGTGAATGCTTTCTTACCATTCATATCCATATCTTTTCAAGATTATGAGTTTTAGTGTTGGCCTTCTTTGGTTTTTTTTTTTTTAACTGATTTTGTATTATTTATTTTTAATCTAACATTCCATTATCAGACTATGTGTTGAATATGATAAAGATTATTTTAAAGTTGTTTAAATTTCTTTTGTAATTTAACCAATGGTTATGTCAATGAATGTACCTGTATGTTCTCTACTTTTTCTAACCAAGTGTCTATTTATATATTTGTTCAATTTGGTTTATTAATGATGATCAGGTTTTTAAACAGTGGCTTCAGCTGCGTAGGCAGTTAATAAAATGATCTTAGAACCTCTAAGGCCTGATGACAGTGGCTCACACCTGTAATCCTAGCTACTCAGGAGGCAGAGATCAGGAGGCTCGTTGTTTGAAGCCAGCCCGGGAAAACAGTTCACAAGACCTTATCTCTAAAAAAAACCCATCACAAAAAAGGGCTGGTGGAGTGGCTCAAGATGTAGGCCCTGAGTTCAAATCTCAGTACTGAAAAAAAAAAGAATCTCTGGATTTTTTTAAAATATTAAGGAACTTCACCTTAGGTAAAGCAGAGAACCTAAAATCTGTCAGCTTTAGGGGTTGGGGGTATGGCTCCCATGGTAGAACACAAGTTTAGCATGTGTAGAATCCTGTGTTCAGTTCCCAGCATTGCAAAAAAAAAGAAGAACCAGTTTAAGGGAAGTAATTTTTTCTGCTTTTGAAATTACTAGGTAATAACATTAGTCCTGCCACCATCAGGAGCAATAATGTTAGTGGTGATAGTAATGGTGACAGCAGCAAGTGCTAACACTTACTCACCCCTTACTGTGTGCCAGGCACCATTCAAACCTCATCAGTTAATGACATAACTCAGGAGCAGCTCTATGAGATATTGCTTACTTCATTTTATAGATGAAAAAGACATAGGCGGTTAATATGTTTGCCATCATCATGTTATAGTCCAGTTGGCTTTAAACAAGGGTAAGTTTGATGAGCTGGACATAAAAAATAATTTTTTTCTTTCCCCTTTTAGTTATTAGAAAAATTAAAAGAACGTTGGTTTTACACTGGCTTATGGAATAATCTGGAATTGGTGAAGACAGTTATTGTAGAACCACAAGGAGGAGAAAAAACTGATTTTGATGAATTACTGCAGGTGTACTATGATGCCATCAAGTACAAAGGAGAAAAAGGTAATTAGAAATTATTTCATGGTCAGTAAAAAAAACTTTTTTATTATAAAGCAAGAAGTTAATGCTATTTAAATTTTGTTCATATTATCTTTTAAGTAAATTTTACTTCAAATTTTTTAATCTTAGGTTATAAGAAAGCTAGGAAATTCTTTTGTTTGGATTTATTCTGTAATTCTTTCACTTGGGTATGCCAATGCAACTTTAAAAAACAACACACATTCAGTTATTTGCCCCACAGTTTACCATATACTACCTGAAATATTCTGTGCAAGAAAGTAGTTAGGATAACTATAAATATTTTCTTCACTAACCAAATGAGACATATGTTGATGAAAACAGTATACTGTGTGCCCATATTCTATTAAATAAGATAAACTTGAGCTTTCAAAACATGCCTGAGAACTGAGGAATTGGTTGTAGTGGTGCCTGCTTGTAATCTCAGAACGCAGGAAGCCAAGGCAGGAGAGTTACAGGTTTGAGACCAGCCTGGGCTACATGGTGATACCCTTTTTCAAAAAACCAACCAGCCAATCAACAAATCAAACAAACAAAACCCTACCCAAAAATCTTATATAACAGAGGGTTCAATTTCTATGTTAGAGAATGTCCATAAGAGTTTGATATGGAGGGCTCTTCATATCATTGAAAAGATAAGAGTATATATAGTGTTCTAGGCATGTGTTTTAAATACTTTGCAATACAATAATGATTGAATCTGATGAATAGAATAAGTCAGAGTTATTTAAGTTCTGGGAATTTTATTTTATGGAGGGAAGGCAATGATTGAAACTTCAATTTTTTTGATTCATACTTGCTTAGTTCTTGCTCATGTTGTTCTGTGGTTTTACTGTATACATTATCTGAGAGATGCATAGTTTGTAAATCGCTATCATATTATGTCTAATTTTGTTTCTCTTACCTACAAAGGACTTACAAAGTCCCTTATAGGGGACTTTGGGTTGGTAGAGTGGCTCAAGTGGTAAAGCACCTGCCTAGCTAGCATAAGGCCCTTTGTTCAAATTCCAGTACTCCAAAAAGAAACTAAATCTCATAATGGTGTTTTATTTTGATTATTTAAAATTTGCTAATATGAATACTTAATTAGTTCTTACAAAATGACAAGAATATGAAACTTGTAAGAAGTTTGAGTGTGCTTTTTAAAATGTTTATTTTCTGTTGCCTAAGATGGAGCCCTTCTCATAGCAGTTTGTCGTGGTAAAGTGAGTGAGGGTCTGGATTTCTCAGATGACAATGCCCGTGCTGTCATAACAATAGGAATTCCTTTTCCAAATGTGAAAGATCTACAGGTAGGCCATCAAAGTCTTAAGATGTTTCATTATCATAGAAGTCATTGGTTTTTGTGTAGTTAATTGTATTTTTTTTTGTGTGTGTGTCCTCAGACATTATACTTTAATTCTCTGTAGAATATGAATGAGTAGGAAAGGTTTAATAGAAAAGATATATTTCCTTTGTAATCTATCCTGTCTTTTGCACAATACAAATGATTTTCAAAGTGTGGTCTCAGGTTAGGAGCATCAGCATCACCTGGGAACGTGGTAGAAATACAGATTTTCATTCTCTTCTAGATCTCCTGAGTCAGAAATGCTGAATGTGGAGTTCTGCAGTTTGTTTTATCATGTTCTTAGTGGCAGACTCAGAGGTCCCGTAGGAGATTCTAGGGTCCTTTCTCTATCTAGATTCTTCTTCTCTCTGCCCTTTTTAACTGCTCCAGAACTCTCCTACTTCAGTTCAGTAGGGCCACTGTGCTGTGTACTGTGGTAAGAAAATTATATCCAGACAGAGAGCTGGGAATAATGGAGTTTACCTAATGGACTCCCTTATCTCCAGAATAATAGTCTTGTGTTACCTGTTGTCTATTCCCAAAAGCAGTTGCTCTATTTTGCTCAGTTTTCCTACTGCTTATAATGGAAGACACATTTCTAAACCAGTTACTTAATCTTAACCAAAAAGTTTTGTATCATTATTGTGGCTTGTTTCCTAAACATTGTATTTTTAAATTCTTTATATTAGTGATTTTAAGCCTAGGGTGACATATTATATTAGGGTCCTCCAGAGAAACAGAATTAATTGAAATATATATAAATGTATCTGTTGCGTTACATGTATACACACATACATACATATTCAAGACTGGCTTACATGATTATAGGCTGAAAAATTCTATAATGGCCATCTACAAGTTAGTATGTAGCTCAGTCGAAGAAGCTGGAAGCCTTAAAATTAGGAATGTAGATGATGAAGTCCCAACCCAAAGCCAAAAGTCCCAGAGGCCCCCTCCCCCGACCAAGGGACTACCTGTGTAAGTCTCAAGAGTCCAGCAGCTGAGGAACTTGCTGTCTGATATGCAAGGGCATTAGTGACAGAAAATGTGCCAGCTCCAGAGGAACAGAGCTGCTCTTCATCCCATCCCGCAGCTGATTGGATAGTGTCCATCCACATTCAGAGCAGGTCTTCCCCACTTAGTTTGCTGACCCACACACTTGTCTTCTTTGGAAATACCCTCACAGACACACCTAGAAGTCATGATTTCCCAGCTCTCTAGGCATCCAGCAGATTAATGAAGCCCACATTTAAAATTGACCATCACAGTTGGTGTTGTCTTCCATCGACAAGGATTTTCTTTCATTTCATTTGAAGGTGCTAGCAATCCAAGATCAAAACTTGAGATTTTTCTACCCATTGGGCTGACCCACTAAGTATGACCCATATCTTTCCTCCCAGTATACAGGCAGTTCAGGTGTCATACCAAAACAGGAGTTCTTTCAGTAGTATAGTTTTCTTTATCTTTAGTACTTTAGTCAACACTATAAATTATAAAAATTTACTTTTATTTCCTTAGGCCATAGCAGTCTTTGGGTAATATTAACAGTAAGAAGCAGTATTTCCCTTATTGATCGCTTTCTCTTTCTGTAACCTCTGGACCTCTTCAAAATTTCTGAAAGTCCTTAGGAGGTATGTCACCCGATTATTCATGAACTAATCCTTCCAGCTTCTGCTGGCTTTGGTGACTTCTACCACTTTTCTCTATCTGCCGTTGTTATCATTGAGAGCACTGATGACAGTGCACAAGTGGACAGCACAAGCTATTAAAAATATTTAGTTGTATGCCACTATGAGGTATTAAATATAAAAATTTCAAATTTTAACAAAGTCCAGTTTATCTATATTTTTTGGTGTTAGCTGGGCTTTTGGTGTCATCATTAGGAAACCATTGGCAATCCAAGGTCATGAAAGTTTGCCCCTTAGGTCTCCTTTGAAGAGGCTTATGGTTTTTAAAATTGATCCATTCTGAGTGAATTTTTCTGTATGATGTAATGTAGGGGTTTGCCTAGGAGCATGATTTTTCAATGCATTCTACCAATTTCTGCCTTTTGATGGGATAATAATTACTGACGGGGAGGGGAAGGATTTACTTCTGCCATTCTGCTATTTGTTTTCTGTGTATCACATGCGTTTTGTACCTCAATTCCTCCATTATTGCTTTTTTGTGTGTGTTCGATTGATTTGGATAGGTTGAGCATATCTACCCAAAATGCTTGGGACCAGAAGTGTTTCACATTTTGGAGTTTTTCAAATTTTAGAATATTTGTACAGTCTTTAGTGATTGAGCATCCCTTATCTGAAAATCTGAAATGCTCCAAACTCAAACTTTTTGGGCTTCAGGTTATTGATCAAAAAGTTTTAGTTTCAGATTTTCACATTAGAGATTCTGAACCTGTATTTTGACTCCCTTCTTCTTATCTTTTGTGTATATTTTTTAGTTATTTTGTTAGTTTATATCGGGGGTTCTAACTGCTACCTTAGCCAGGTGCTGTGGCTCAAGCCTGTAATCCTAGCTACTTGCGAGACGGAGATCAGGAGGATAGCAATTCAAGGCCGACCTGTGCAAAAAGTTTTCAAGACCCCCATCTCAAGCAATGACTGGGCAAAGTGTTGTGAGCCTGTCAATCCAGCTATGCAGGGAAGAACAAATAGGAGGATTGTGGTTCAGACATAAAGCTAAACCCTGTCTGAAAAATAAATAGTGGCAAAAGGGACTGTGACATGCCTAACAAGTACAAGGCCCTGAGTTCAACCCCCAGCCCTCCAAAAATAAATCCCCAAAACTTGCCATCTTAATCTTTCCTTTTTATGTTGTTATTGTCACAGATTAGATCTTTATACATTGTGTTCTCATGTGTATAATTTATAATTATTATCTTATGCATTTCCCTCTTAAATAATATAGGCGAGCAGGAGAAGTTATAAACCCAAAGTACAATATTATTGGTTTTTATATTTATTTATAGTTGCCTTTAACAGTGTTCTTTATTACTTCTTAAAACACATACTGCAAAACCTTCATTACGTTATATTTTAGTGTTTGTAAATATGTTATGTAATCTGTTAGATGCTACATCTAAAAGATAGGGACAAATTCTTAAGCATCTTTCTGTATAATTAAAATATTGCCTTTTCAATAAATGTCTTAATAGAAGTTTAATGTAAACTTATTAAGATTGTGTTTGGTTTTTTTTTTTTTTTTTTTTTTAACTTTCATTCCTGGAGACTAATTAAGGCACAGTGATAATAGTAATTGTTTAATGATAAGCAAAATGGTAGTAAACATTAGTATAATTCATAAAGAAGCAGTACAGTGTGTTATTATAGTCCTAAGTCACTTAAGAAGGTATAGAAGGGAGTGATCAGTTCCCAATAGCATCTTAATGCTTTATCTAATACATACTAGAACATAATAAATAGAAAGGTGTGTCATATTGATATACTGGCTGTCATTCTTTATATTAGTTTTCTATCACAGTGTAACAAATTACCACATAGTAACTTAAAACAACACACATTTATTATTTCTATGGGTCATGAGTCTGGCTATACTTATCTGTGTCCTGTGCTCAGTTCCACAAGCCTGTGTTCTCACCTGGTGTTTGGGATCCTCCTTTAAGGTCATTCAGGTTATTGGCCAAAATCAGTGCCTATGGTTATATAACTAAGATTCCTTATAATCCAACCAAGGCCACTATTAGCTTTTAGAAGCTACTTAAAGTTCCCACTATGTGGCCTTCATATAGGCCCTCTCACAGCATGGCACTTTATTTCTTCAGGGCTAACAGTATGCTTCCTAACATCAGTCAGCTAAGACAGGGTCTTGTACAACTTGTAATTGGGAGAGCAATTTGCCATCCCTTTGCCATACAGTATAACCTAATCAAAAAAAGTGACTGTCCCATAACACTTGCCAAATTGCATTAACAAGTCTCTCAAGGAAGAGTATAGATTTGACTCTACATGTCACCTTAGGGTATGTCTGACATACTCTTGTTCCTTATTAAAGGAGATGATGAACTCATAACTACCTCTTCCAAAACTGTGCTTCAAATAGCTGGACTTTAAACCAGAACTTTATAGTTTTCTTTTACATTAATATTCAACTCATGCAGAAATAAATGGAAGTTACTTATAAATGAAAATTTTAAATCATTCTGTCTTATTCTATTTTATAAGACAGATTGTATATTTCATTTACCATTCCCATTTTAAAGAGGTTCAGATCAGTGTCTAGGTTAGAAAAGTGATTTGAGTGGGAAAAAAGGCAATGATATTAATTTTATGATACTAATTTTTTCTTATATCTAAGAAAGATTATGGAAGTAAAAATTTTAAATACAGTTTAAAATGCTAACTTAAGACTTTATAGTCTCAATAGCAGAGTTTGGCTTTTAGAGAGGCAGGAAAATGTATGTTAGAGCCAAAAATATGACTTCTTTGGCTGTGACCAGGATTTCCTCTTCCCACCTTGGGGACTAGAAAGTAGAGGTAGGAAAATTTCATTTTGGAGCCAAGTGTGACTTGTTTAGTTCCAGTCATAATTTACTGCACATACCTTAGGGACCTGGAAATAAAGAAAGCCACTATGAAATGTTGATAATGGGCCACTCTGAAGGGCAAACATTAAGCTAACTTTCCCAGGGAGGATTTTTTTCACCAGATGCTTCTGATCATTCTATAAGAACATACTTACTCGTGTAATAGTTTAAAAGAAAACTTTCTGTGCCCTAGACTAAAGCATTTGAGGGGGCATAAGAGTGAACCAGGGTCTTTATATGAATAGATGTCAGTGAGAAAGTATAACTAAAAGAATTATTTTCTTTTAATGCAATTAAATCACAGTGTAACAAAGCTGCCTTTTTAATGGGTTTCTAAAACAAATTCTTTGACCAATTACAGCTACAAAAGCTGTTGACATCGTAATTCGGCCCTTCACATTTCAAGTTGGTGATGTAAGACA